CCCCCCCCCCCCCCACACACACACACACACACACAGACATTTAGCTTTTCACTCCTGCAGCTTTTAGCCCACACAGCCACTCTAAAGGAGAAGGGTGCTCCATGTTTCCAATATTCCTCCCTTTTCTAAAAGAGCGGTGTGCAGCTGAGGGCACACCAGCAGCCTCAGTGGAAATCAACTCGAGTGCATTCTTAAAATGATTACAAATCGGCCCTCTGTGCTCCCATGGATGTGTGCTGAGCGCAGGGTGACTCTCATGTGCCCCAGTAACTCCAAATGCTTCCAATTATTTGCCTCGTTAGAACCGAGTTCCCTCAGCTTTAGATGAAATTACAGTTAAAAGAAGTCATTGAAAATATGCAAGGATGATTAATTTCAGTTATTTTATTGAGCACTTTTGATATAACAGGAAAAAAACCTGCAATAGCGCTTAAAGTTCTGAAAACTTTCACTTGAGAGGCTGAACATTTTGGAAGCACTCGTTTAGTTTTATATTTCCTGCAACGTTTAACACACAACCTTTAATATGCATGTAATGAAAAAAAATAAACAAACGTCTTTCCACAAATGGCAAAAGCCTCAGTAATATTAACCTAATGATTTGCACTCATTCAGGGCCTTTTCTCATGCAAATGAGGAGATTATTATGCTGCGTGCAGCACGGGGGGCCACAAGAAAGAGCCGTCGCCTATCACCACCTCACTTCTTAGCTCTAATTAGAAACTAATTATAAGAAAGCAAAGAGAGAGGACAAACATACACATGTAGACGTGACTCTTTAATATGCGAGCGGAGCTCTCAATGGGGCTGGAATAACAAACTCTGCTTAATGCAGCAGCCCGTCCTGCTTCCTACAAGGGTTAATCTCAGATTAATGTGGGGTCAGTGAGAAGGCAGCGCGGCATTTATTTTGAAAGATTCTGATGAGTTTACATCAAAACTGTAAGGCTAAACTAGATATATAAACAGCTTTGACACATGCTGAAAAAATATAACACTGACTCAATAAAAAAATGTAGTATTCTGTCTAATATTTTAGCATTGACTGCTAAATAACCTAAATGCAAAAAATGTCCACCTAACCAAGTTTTAAAATCTTATATCCAGCCAAAAAGTATTTTTGATCTTGTTTTGAGACTGATTTACTAAACAAGAACTGATTGTGTAAGAATAATCATCTTGTTTTCAGAATGTGTAAGATTATTTGTCTTGTTAGTCTGAAAATTTGACTCAAATTAAGTCAAAACTTTCTGCCATTGGAGTAATACAATTTTACTTGGTAAGACTTCTTGAAATACTTGATTTGACTCTTTTTTTTTCATATTTCAAGAATCTAACCAAGTAAAATTTTCTTACTCCATTGGCAGAAGGTTTTGACTTAATTTGAGTCAAATTTTCAGACTAACAAGACAAATAATCTTACACATTCTGAAAACAAGATTATTATTCTTACACAATCAGTTCTTGTTTAGTAAATCAGTCTCAAAACAAGATCCAAAAGGCTTTTTGGCTGATATAAGATTTTAAAACTTGGTAAGATGGACAGTTTTTGCCCTAACATTTACATTTGGTCATCGATATAATATTAGCTGGAACAGATTACTTAAAAGGTTTCTTTTATATTTTTTCAGAGAAGGATTTTAGCCATAAAAAACTGGAATTGCTAGAAACTCTGATCTTTTTTATAAAGCTTGAGTGCCATCTACTTTTTCTAAAAAATATGTTCATAAAACTATTTGTGGCAAAAGACTTCAAAATCTGACAAATGTTCAAACATAAATGAAAAATAAAAAACATAAAAATTAAGATCAAAGATTATACATCTCATAAAAGAGAATCAAAACGTGTTATAAAATAAATTGATTTACAAGTAAAGTGCACTCTAAAAACCAAACATGAAGGCAGTCTCGGAAGACTCAGCTAAACTTTCACAAGTCAAGAAAAAAAAAATCTTTAAACTCTAAAAAGCAAATTCAGAGCTCGTAAAACTCACTTAAAAACCCATTTCTTCTCTTTGGCTTTTAACCCAGAGTGGTTTTGCATCTGTCTTAATTTTGTACCATTTTTTGGTATATGTGATCTTTGTATTGTCGTTTTATTTTTGATGTTTTACTTTATACATTTGTACAGCACTTCGGTCAGCTGCTACATAGTTTTTTAAGTGATTTAGAAATAAAGTGGTATGACATAAAAACATATTTCATATTTGAGTGGAAACACCCACTGTTTGGATTCAGTCCAGAGCATGAAAAGTTTCTACACTTGCATTAAAAACATCTAAACATCAGAAGTTAATTTTGAGATTACCATAAAACATTTCATGCAACATTTCTTACCATTAATTAATCATAATAAAAAAAAATCAAATGCCTCAAAAGTGAAGAAATGAATAATGGTAATCAAATGTGTCAATCCTGGACTCACCGTCTGAGGTGGGAACATGTGTAGCGATGGCCAGCAGAGCCACCAGCACCAGCAGCTTCACGTCCATGATGCTTGCTTCTCTGTCTCTGTTACAATCCAGCCAACAACTGTGGCCGGCAGCTCCGCTCTGCCCGCTGTTAAAGCCTTGGATGGGAGGGAGAGGGAAGAGAAGGGGAGGGGTGGAGGGTGGGTGAGTTCCACTTTCTCAGGAGGAAGAGGTGGAGGTCCCAGCATGGGAGGAGAGAGAGGAGGAGGCAGAATGTGTTGGCTGGGAGTCAAGTAGAGAGTCTGAGGAGAGTTTTCCCTTGTTCTAACTTTTTGTCTACTTTTTTCCCTTTAGCTGTGCTGCTCCGTCACCTCTGTTGTCTTGCTTTTCCATCTTCTCCTTCTCTCTGCCTCTCTGTGCCACACACAGACGAACACACACACAGACGAACACACACACAGTGAGACAGCTCCAGCTGTCAATCACAGCCCACAGCTCCCTGCTGTTGGACTAATATTGTTGTAGATTTCAGCTCACTCTCGTCTTATTGTTTGCTCGGACACAGACATCTCCTCGACACAAGTCTCTCTTCCGTGTTGACTCCAGGTCCTCTGGCTCGGCTCCCATTCTTGACACCTGGTTTATGTCCTTAATTGGCTCCATGGGACTTTTCTTTGTCTGCGGTGAAACCTTTGGAGCAGTGTTTCCCAAAGTTGGGGTCGGGACCCAAAGTGGGGTCCCGAAACATCAAGGTTGGGTCCTGAAAAGATCTTAGGAATTAATTACATTTTTTGACTTTATTGTTACAAAGGAGTGAGGTTGGTATATTTAAAATGGATAAATGTAGTATAAAAATATTGTTAATATGTCCATGTTTTGTTGACCTGATACAAATGTTTATCATCCAAAAATATCTGGGGGCACAGGTCTCTGCTACTGTTATTTTGTGGGTCAAAAGCTTAAAAGTTTGGGAACCACTGCACTTTGGTTCCCAAAGCTGGGCTTGGGACCCAATTATGGGTCATGAAGCACCTTGGATAATCTCCAGAAATCAATTTAAAGGGTATTAAAATTATTGCTGATGTAATATTTTCCCTTTAATTATTGCAAAAACACAAAATAAGTACAAATAAGTATTTATATTTTTGTACAAGCTGTTTATGTTGTCAAAAAGCCTGTGTTTTTAGGGTTATTAACAAAGTTCATGTACTCAGACCAGTAATATTTGGGGTCACAAGTTTTTGCCATGGATATTTTGTGGGTCAGAAGATAAAAAGTTTGGGAACCACTGCTTTAGAGGACTGTTTGTTGGACATTTGTGCTGTAATTAGGAGATAGAAAACAAACTGTCCTGAACTTATAATATAACTCCTGACTCTCTAAATTATTTAAAAAGAGCAGTTTTTATGAATTTAAAAAGCGTATTTCAGTTTGAGGCAAAACGAAAGAGGGGAAAACCAAATTCTGCGAGACGAATCAACAAATCTAGTTGTTTTTCATCAGCGAGGCAAACCTGTTGTTTTTAGATACAATGAAGAGATAAAGAATCAGCACAGGAAGAAATGGTTTAGATAAGTCGCTGCTGAAGAAGGAATGCTTTGAAAATGTTTCTTTTTAAACAAATCTCTAAGAAAAGTCTGATTCAGCGATAAAGCCCTGAAACAGCAGATTTGGTATGTTGTTTATTTGAATTCTAACAGACTCTCATAGACAGTCAAACGAGGCTTTTGTGTTCAAAAAAATCACTAGTAAATGCAAATTATATATGCGATATACAAATGACTAACAAGTTAAAATGTTTGTATGTTATAGTCCCATTTTTAGTTTAAAACCATGTTTAAATATGTATATTCAAGATGTTCTTTACAAATATTAGAAATTCATAATTTGGACAGAAAAATACTGAAATAACGAGAAGGAAAAATATTAAGATTTTAAAGATTTAAAGACAAAGATGGAAACAGTTTCAGTTTTTTTTAGAAATGAGCTGCCCAAATGGGGCCTGAGGGCCAAAACTGCTCACCAAGCCATTTATTTGGACCACTGCTGATTTTATAATCTCATGTGCAGAAACACTGTATTTCCACTGATGGTCATGCTTTCAATTGGCTGCAGATTGTTTTCACTGATGGTTTGTACTTTATATTTGAATTATATTAAGAATAAGCATGAAATACAAGAGACATTTAGATGAGATTTAAGCACATGTGTATATTTTTTATAAAACCACACGTACACATATTTCTCAATTTATAAAATTTCTGATGAGCTTTTGCTGCGTGAGTGTACGTCAAATTTTCTCCAACTGCAGGCTAAGAATTAAAAATAAATAAATATGTGAGCTAGCACACTGGCTGCTCGCTTAATCATAAAAAAAGGATTTTATTTAAAAAGTATTTACATTTCTTGTATCATATTATTGCATTTGGCTCGCAGATTTTCATTTTCTTTGGAAATGGTTTGGGTACCCCTGATTTAGAAGAAGTGGTTTAGTTTTCAGGTGGTATAGTGGTGTAGTGGTTGGAGTTATTGTCACTCATGGAGAAGGTCACAGGTTGGTCCTCCTGATTTTTGGCCTTTTTGTTTTGCGTTCCCATGTTCCCCCTCATGCACATATGAGTTTCTGCAGGTACTTTGGTTTTCTCCCACAGACCAAACACAGTCACATTCGGTTGAATGGCAACTCTAAATTTCCTCGAGGTGAGAGTTTGAATGATTTTATTGTCTCTGTGATGGACTTTTGACATGTCCAGGGTGTCCCCTGCCTCTCTCACGATGACTGCTAGAAATAGGCACCAGCTCCGTGTGATCTGGATATAAAAAGTCTGTAAAAGAAGAAGGATGGCTGCTTTAGTTCTGCTACGTGCCTAACAGCAAATAAAACAGGACCAGGATGGACAGAATACTGAATAAATGAAACCTGGAGGAAACACATGAGATTCTTCACGTTTCAAACTTGAAGATCTGATGTTGAACTTCCAGCTCCATCTTGATCAAACCGTCTGGAGCGGCTTGTGTGTACGTGTCTGAGCATGAGGGTAAATGTGTGTTTGTGTGTTTTCATACATGCGGGCAGTTATGCAAAGTTCGGTCGCCTTTGTTTAGCTGTCCTGACTTCACCAAATGCATTAAAAAAACTGTCCTTTAAGCCAGAAATCTCCACGTTTTCTGTCAGTGTAGATGTTGTTGATTTAACCTCCCTCTTCATCAGTAATAAGTCACACGCTGCTAAAGACCGCTCATCAATTCATACCCTGAACCCCCTCCCCTCCTCCTCCTCCTTCAGTTTACAGACTCAAACCACCGAAGCGTGCTGAGAGAGCGTTCGCAGGGCTCAGGCCTGCTGCCGGTTATAAACCTGACAGCTTGTTTACTGTTTGTGAGAGATTCATCCAATGAACAGCAATAAAATGAAAACTTATCTGGGATGAATTTACTGAGCCTCATCAGTTTTTTTTTTATTTTTTGATGTTTTAATACCAATACTCAATTTAATTTCCTGTTAACAGTTGAATGACGTTACTATGATTTTTTTTTATTACAGTTTAAATCTTGCTTTAAATGATTATTTTTTGCTTTCCTAAAATTAGTATGTATCAAGTTTTGACAGCTCTACAGCAAAACAACATCAACCTGGAAAGACTCACACAGAGAAAAATAGCAGTTAAAAAGTTTTATTGCCATGAGAAAATTGTTTGGCGCCTGAGCCTCGGCGGAAGACCTGGGTGCAGCGTACTGCTGTGACCCAGTGATCAGCTTAGGTTTTAGGATTAACATCCTCCCCCTGGGGCTCGGACACTGGTGGTGGTGTGGAGGCCAGAGGGTGGAGGTAGCCAGGAATAGCCTGAGATGTAGGTGGAGGTGAGGTGGAGGTGGGTCGAACTCTTCTGGGGAAGACAGATCCTTGGGTGCAGCGATTGAAGCAGGTGAGGAGGGGAGAGTCTTCCAGTTTGAATTTGCGCATAAGCTTTGTTAAAAAATAAGCAATGTTCGTTAACCTTTACCTGTTCAGATCTGATACAAAAAAAATTACTGGGGTGTTTACTACTGACTTATAAATACACTACACATTGTATAGTCTTTTATTAGTCAGTACTAAACACCCCAATAAATTTTTTTCAGCTTCAAAACAAAAATTGTTGCAATTTCAAAATGAGGCAACAATTATCCTTGTTGATTTTTAACTGGAATGAGCTGTATGACAATTTATGCATTTTAATTCATATTTATGAAGCCTGAGTATGATTGTAACTTTGTAAGTAAATCTTTTGCACCACAAGAGAAGTAGATTGAGTACTGAAAATAAAATGTTTGTAGAAATGTTGAAACTAAGCGAAAAGAACAAAAGAAGACAAACAATGCTATATTTTCCTCAACAAATATATGTCTTTATTATGCAAAATTGACTAATTTCAGTAGTATGTTCTACTAGTGGGCAGACCTGTGAAGAGGCTGCAACAACAATCATTTTGACTAAAGATAGAAACTTTAGATTAGTTTAGTTTTTAGAGACTAAAGATAGACAGTTAGTCTCATTGAATAAAATCCACTGGTCTAACAGGAGAAAACATTTTGATGCAGAAAGCTAATGTCATCATATCAGCATGCAGGATCACAGAAATTTACATTAATATTTTTCATCAATATAGATTAAAGACACAAGCTGGAATAGTATTTTTCAAACAGCTTACATGTGATTACACAATAAAAAAGACATTTTTAATGGGGTCTTTTGTGTTGAGGTATGGGTGAAAGCATGTAAGACAATTACACATCCTGTTTTTGTTTTGCAGAAAAGAGCTATAAGAGTTATCACTCGAAAACTTTACTATTATCCATCTAAAGTATTATTCTGTAAACTGAAATTATTGCAATTTTATCATTTGGTTGATTACAATATTTTGTTAGTTATGTATAAGGCTCACCTTACCTATAAACATCCAGAAAAACTTTGCAAAAAGAGCGAGCTGTTATAATCTTAAGGGGACAGAGTTGTTCATGAAACCTAAATTTAGAACATGTTTGAAAGAACGGTGCACCTCAATCTAAGGAGTGAGATTGTGGAATAATCTGGAAAATGATGTGAAAAGTGCCAAATCAAAGTACATGTTCAAGAGAATTGTTGAAAAAATATTAAACAGTATAATGTGTAACCATATAATTTGTTGTTCTAGAATGATTCTTGTTTTGTTTTGTTAACTGAGGATTATTGTTGTTTGAATTTATACTTGAG